ATTATTTCAGTGTCCAAGTTACACAAAAAATCAAAAAAATATGCCTGATGAGATTCCCTTACCTGATGATTTGCCTCTCTTTACCATTATGGGCTGTAGGGCTGAACTTTGGAAAAAAAGAGTTGTACAAAAATTATTAGTATTTTATTGCAGCTTGTTAATTCTGTCAGAGATAGCTCCCTCCCTAGTGATGAATAGCATGTTCTCTTAGATTTGCTGCAAAGGGTGAGGGAAACGTTAAGATAGTGTAATTGCATTTTGTCTCTACAGATATCGACGAATGTGCATCAGGGACGCACAACTGCCACACTCACGCTACCTGTGCTGACACAGACGGCAGTTTCACCTGTACCTGTAACGAAGGTTATACCGGGGATGGAGTCAACTGTGATGGTATGAGCAAAAGACTTGGGTGTACATACTTAAAACATTACACTCTAAAAGAGAATGCATTCCTTACATACCGTGTAAAATATCGTATCAAAGTCAAATACCAAGATTCAGTAATACCTCGTAAACACTCCATGTAATTGGGTATAACAGCTTGCATATCAGAGAACATTAAACGTATCTTTGCAGAGCGTATATTTGAAGAAACGATATGTTTCTATCTCTTGACAACGATATGGTACATCGTAACATTTATCCATCATACAGTAGACCATTATTGTATCATTTCGGCGCGGTGTAGAAACTAGCGACACAAAATGCACATTACATTTGTGTTACATACAAGTGTGATATACAATGTGACAAAGATTACTCGCATGTAATTGCGGTTTGTGTCTACAGATATCGACGAATGTGACCTTGACACGGACAACTGCCACACTCACGCAAGCTGTGCTAACACAGACGGTAGTTTCACCTGTACCTGTAACGAAGGTTACACCGGGGATGGAGTCATCTGCACCAGTAAGAGCAAAAAATTTAGTTTTACATTACAATGTCCTGCCTGCCTAAATGCTTAGGCCAGAACTGGCTCCTTGCTCCTTAGATTTATATTTACATTACAATTTAAAGGGTAAGGTCAATATTAAAAGTAATAATTGCATTTTGTCTCAACAGTTATTTACATTACAAGATTTGGTTTACATAACAATGTCAAAGGCATTTATTTCCTTTTCGAAATTATAATTACTTGTCAAAATATCTTATCAAATGTTTTCTTCAAGTGGCAACGTAGGTTACAAAACAAGATTGATAATTTTCACTTACCTGATGAGATTCCATATTTTCCATGTTTAAAAAAATTGACATCCATCTATTTTATCTAGTGTTGAACATCATTGGCTTTGGAAAAATACGACAAAGATTACTATGTAATTGCTGTTTGTCACTACAGATATCGACGAATGTGCAACTGGCACCCACAACTGTGATGATGATGCAACCTGTACTGACACAGACGGCAGTTTCACCTGTGCCTGTAACACCGGTTACACCGGGGACGGAGTCACCTGTGATGGTAAAAACAAAAGATTCGGTTATACATTAATGAAGCATTCTATTGTTAGATAGAGAAATTGAAATTCAATCCAGAAGCACCTGTTTATTAAACAACGTGTATCTTATTAGAAAGGGAAATCTGTGTACGATTCGGCGATACTCCATTAATATACGTATATACATTACGTATATGGCGATGTTGGAGGGATAACTTTCCACAACTTAATGCAATATGGCAAATCATAGAAACGAATTACAAAGTAGTTAATTATGTTGCAATCACCTTCATGTCGGGCGACTAGCCTGGACCAAGGCCACTCTCTCTTCCCAGACAGCTCTGTCCGCCATTTTACAAAGACGTCAATAATTACGTAAAAATTTTGCCCTTTTGTATTCATGTAACGTGTGACATTAATAACGTGACCTTTCACTTAGTGCCGTATATTCACATATTCAATTCATCATATATACATCTTTGAATACAGCTGTGTACCTTCCCTGAATCAATAACGTTTGTTTCCAAAATTAAAACGATATTTTCACTTATCTGATAAGATTCCGTATAGTGTCATCTTTGCAAGATATATCTCCCTCCACCCAGTACTAGCTATATATAATAGGCTGCAAGGTTTGTAGCGAAGAGTAACAGTTAAATGAGTATGTAATTCATGTTTGTCTCTACAGATATCGACGAATGTGACATGTACACGGGCACGAACGTATGATACAAAGATTACTAGTTTATTCTTGTGGTTTACCTCCACAGATATCGACGAATGTGCAACTGACACAGACAACTGCCACACCCATGCAAGCTGTACTAACACAGACGGCAGTTTCACCTGTAGCTGTGACACCGGTTACACCGGGAACGGAGTCACATGCACTGGTATGAAAAAACGATTTGCTTGTACATCTGTAAAATAATATATTGTCAGAATACATGCATTGCTTTCATTCAATTCTAAACGGCTTCATTCAAGATTATTTAACTTATTCATCAAAATTCTAATAGTATCTGAAGAACTTTAAATATGTGTAGGATGCAGTGATACATAGTGTGAGTCCGTGATAGTGCTAGAGTCATTTACAATTGCAATATCACAACACTAGGGAGCGCGATACGATTCTGCAATATCGCAGATCAAAGCAACCCTGATATTTTCCCTTACCTGATGAGATGTGTGCTGAGAGCTAGAGCTGTCTCTCTTCGGTACTCACCTTTATGGAAGTTGTGTAAATGATTAGGATAAAGACTACTTTTGTGTTATTGCGGTCTGCTTCAACAGATATCGACGAATGTGCAACTAACACGGACAACTGCCACGATGACGCAACCTGTACTGACACAGACGGCAGTTTCACCTGTAGCTGTAACGAGGGTTACACCGGGGATGGAGTAACCTGTGATGGTAAGAGGAAAATATTTGGTGACACATTTGTGAAACATTCCACTGTTAGGGAACATCAAAGTGTGAAAAAAGTTAACCTTTGTCTGACTTGACTTTTACTTGAACTTTCCCTTCCCTAAGGAGATTCCGCAGTGGTCCAATTCTGTGAGATTTTTCCGCCATAATAAAAATCATGAGCTTGAAGGTTTGTAGCAGAGTAAGATTCAGACTAAGATTACTGGTATATAATTGTGGCTTGTCTCTACAGATATCGACGAATGTGCATCAGGCACGGACAACTGCCACACTCACGCAAGCTGTACAGACACAGACGGCAGTTTCGACTGTAGCTGTAACACCGGTTACACCGGGGACGGAGTAATTTGTACTGGTAAGATCAAAACATCCGTAAACTTTATTACTGTCAGTGCACACGTATTGCTTGAAATATTAACGGTGTGACGATTCTTCTCTGTCATCGACAATGTAGGTTACAAAACAAGAATATTTCCTCTTTCCTAGATTCAACAGGCTTTTACCATTGTAAGCTAGAACTGTAATGACCAACTTGGACTATGAGTGTAAGACAAATATTACTATATATTATACGTAATTTGTCACTACAGATATCGACGAATGTGCATCTGGCACGGACAACTGCCACGATGATGCAACCTGTACTGACACAGACGGCAGTTTCACCTGTAGCTGTAACGTCGGTTACACCGGGGACGGAGTCACCTGTGATGGTAAAAGCCAAAAATATTAGATTACACATTGTGAAACGTTATACTGTTAGGGAACATAAAATAGACATATGTAATTTTTGAATTACAAGATTTAATAGGTTTATTAAAAGATAATTTTAGAATGTATCTTAAGTATGATATGACGTCAGAGATACCATGTGTTGTAAGGTTTGTATTCAAGAGTACGATTAGATAAAAGATCTCCGGTATGTCATTGCGCTTTGTCCCTACAGATATCGACGAGTGTGCAACTGGCACGGACAACTGCCACACTCACGCATCCTGTACTGACACCGACGGCAGTTTCACCTGTAGCTGTAACAACGGTTATACCGGGAACGGAGTCACATGTACTGGTAAGAACAAGATTTGATGATTCCTCTGTAATTATCATATTTGCATGGATTTCGCAATACCAAATTTTACAACAGTTCTCTTAAGTGTATTTTACATTGCTTCATACATTGATAATACAAATGTGTGTACATATGTCTACGATGCAGTGATACCTCAGAAAGATATGTGTGATACAACTTCCTGTAATAACTTTTTCCAAATATATTGAATTAGCATCTTAAGTAATAACCGCCATAGGTTGAAAGTTGCAGAAATGAGTAAGACAAAGACTGCTATATGTGTTATCCCGTTTTGTCTCTACAGATATTGACGAATGTACAGATGGCACGGACAACTGTCACGATGATGCAACCTGTACTGACACCGACGGCGGTTTCATCTGTACCTGTAACGTCGGTTACACCGGGGACGGAGTCAACTGTGATGGTAAGAGCAAAAATAGTTGGTTGCACATTTGTGAAACATCCTTCTGTTAGGGTATATTATTTGCTGGTAGAGTTTGTTTCTACAAGATGTTCTTGTTTGCTCATTAAAATATAAATGTGCATCAGTGTAAAATTGATACGTATGTACAAAGATTACTAGTTTATTCTTGTGGTTTACCTCCACAGATATCGACGAATGTGCAACTGACACAGACAACTGTCACACTCACGCAACCTGTGCTAACACAGACGGCAGTTTCACCTGTAGTTGTAACACCGGTTACACCGGGAGTGGGGTCATCTGTGATGGTAAGAGCTAAGATTTGATTTTATATTCGGAAAACATTATAGTATCAAACAACTTATCAAAGATTTTTTCAGGTTCCTCTAACATTCCTTTTTACCTTGTCATTGATGTTTCCTTGTCAGCATATCGTATTTTACATTAACTATTACAATATTGCAACCATGGCATGAAAAGATTCCCTTCTTAATCGTGTATGTTCAGTTCCCGCAGGGTTTTATCCGCTCTGAGTTATAGCTGCCTCTCTTCAGTAATGGCCACCCGGAGGTGTAAGCTGTGGAAAGGAGTTGGACAAAGGATGTAAGTTTTCGGTTTGCCTTTACAGATATCGACGAATGTACAACTGGCACGGACAACTGCGATGATGATGCAACCTGCACTAACACAGACGGCAGTTTCACCTGTGCCTGTAACACCGGTTACACCGGGGACGGGGTCAATTGTGATGGTAGGAGCAAAATATTTGGTTGCATATTTTTCAAACATTGTACTGTGATGGATTCAACCATTTTATAGAACGTAATGGTAATGCAGTAGCTCCCGAGACAATATTATTGTATGGTTTTGTGTCAAAGCTACTGTCGCAAAATGTGTGCCATGTTTGTTACATTAATGTTAAGTGTGATATAAAAGAACGCGACCTTTTGCTTAGTACTTGTCAATGCTTCAAATTTCAGTGTTACACCCGTGGCATATCTATGGGATGTTACCATGTAGCTCCATCACTGAACGTAAGACCATCATTGACTGTGTGAGAGGTTTGTACATGTAGCAAAGAGTAATATCAAGAGAAAGATTATATACGTGATATGTGTAATTGTGGTTTGTCTTCACAGATATCGACGAATGCACAGATGGCACACACAACTGCGATGACGATGCAACCTGTACTAACACAGACGGCGGTTTTACCTGTGACTGTAACAACGGTTACAGCGGGGACGGAGTCACCTGTGATGGTAAGAGCAAATGATTTGGCTGTACATTCGCGAAACATTATATGCCAGAATACATCTATTGTTTACACAGGATTTAATATCAATTTTACAGTTCTCGTAGGCTTATTGACATTTCCTTGTCAACCTATTGTAAAAGAGCATCTTAAAAAAATTCAAATTTCGATATGTTTACAATTCAGTGATACCCCACAAATAGATAAATCATTCATAATGACGATTTTTACAGTATCAAAAATCATAGCAATATTAGAGATATACGTGTAAATACATTTGATTATATGCATATACTAGAGAGCATGAATTGTTTAGCCTTTCTCATAGTTTTATTAATAGGACATAACGTCAAACTTAAGTGCGCCTTATGTGACTATCAACTGTGTACATTTTAATACAATACGATAAACAATGTTTTCGAATTCCCTGATTCTATTAATAAACATCATTGATTGTAAGTTGTCCTTAAAGAGTTGGAATCCTTCTGCCAACTCTTTCTGTATATATATATATATATATATATATATATATATATATATATATATATACTTATGGTTTCTCTCTACAGATATTGATGAATGCACAGATGGCACACACAACTGTGATGATGATGCAACCTGTACTAACACAGACGGCAGTTTCACCTGTGCCTGTAACACCGGTTACACCGGGGACGGAGTCACCTGTGATGGTAAAAACAAAATATCGGGCTGTGCATTTGTGGAATATTTTTCTTACATGGCTTTAGATGGCTTCCATACCTTTATACCTCGATTATTTAGTGTCAGAATAACTTATAATGTTTACGCTTAGCTAAACGCCCTTTCCCGGCATAAACAACAACAAAAAAAACATTATCGGTCAGTGTCAAGTCTTCTCCTGACAGGGTTACAACCTATGGCCGCTGTTATACAACATGCTACATGTAGCTTTAGGGCAAAGGTTAGTAATAGCGCAGGCGCAGAGGGCCCAGTTTTAGTATATAGAGATGGCAATGTAATGTAGAGTGTAAAGAAGTCTTTTTCTAGGGAAATGTTGTTGTTTTGGACTTGGATGTTATAGGTAAGGGTTGTAGTATTTTAATTTTGGTGAAAAAACAGACTTGCAGCCATGTTTGTGTTGTCTGGCTGGCTGAAGAAGATATAGGTTTACATGCGGTCATCAGCTGTCCAGAGAGGTCAGGGGTCACTTCTCAATGTTTGGGTAGAATTCTCGCATGGTTTAGGTGCGTAGGATTTTGTCATTTTTTGGGAATGGAGACTTGAGAGGTTGGCCTACCCTGCCAATGTATGTTCTTCAAGGTCTAAAACTCAGGTATATGAATGTTGACCACGTTGTTTTGACATAATTCCCATATATTAACATAGGAAAGCCCTATTACTGTGCTGTGCCCTTTAACAAGGTCCGCATGCCTCGCCACTGGCAGATCGGTCTTGCGATCCATGGTCAACCGGTGGGGTGCTGACGGACGGCACCTAACTCCTTCTTGTGGACTTTTTCCGGGCCTATCCGTTTTACTCTTGGCGGTTCCAGATAGCAATAACGGAGGGTACAAAGTAATATTTCTTGTTGCCTAGAAAGTTCCATACAGGTTCAGTTCTGTGAGCTAAATCCCCCTCCTCCAGTGATGACCAGCGTGGCCTGTAAGGTTAATAGCAAAGAGTTACAAGAAGATTACCAGTATGATGTCGTGGTTTGCCTCTACAGATATCGACGAATGTACAGATGGCACGGACAACTGCGATGATGACGCAACCTGTACTAACACAGACGGCAGTTTCACCTGTGACTGTAACAACGGTTACGCCGGGGACGGAGTCAACTGTGATGGTAAGAAGAACGACTTTGTTTTACAGACATAAACCATTATATACTGAGTACATGCTAGTTATGGATGTACCTCAATATATAATTCAGCTTTCTTAGGATTCTCAAAGGTTAATTAACAATGCTTTATACATTGATATTTTGTTATCAACCTATTGTAGTAAAGGTGCATCTTTTCAAAATGTGTACGACGCATTGCATGAAATTCATTGTCTCTCGAGACAGAAGGATGCCAATAACAATATGATGCATTCCACAAAAATGTAATTTTTATCACAATTTCCTAAATATTGCACATATCATAGCAACATTTCATAAATGAATACATTCAATTACATATATATACTAGAGAGTATTAATTGTTTCTATAGAATTCTATTTCAATCATTTTCATTAGCTTAATGGGAAATGGCTTCCAAGTTTATAGCATATTTGACTATATACTGTGTACATTTTGTGTCTCGATAACTATATATAAACATACAAAACACAAATGACTTTTTCACTCACCCGATGAGACTCTATACACTTTTAGTGCTGTTAGCCGTGGCTGCCTCTCTCCAGTAATAACATCAAAAAGAGTAAGAAGAAGATAACTATATACATGTATCTTGGTTTTCTTCTACAGATATCGACGAATGCACAGATGGCACGGACAACTGCGATGATGATGCAACCTGTACTAACACAGACGGCAGTTTCACCTGTGACTGTAACGACGGTTACACCGGGGACGGGGTCAACTGTGATGGTAAAAGAACAAAAATATGTGTGAAATTTTAACCTTAGGGAACATAAATTGCTTCCATAGCTTTATACATTAGAGATTACGTGTCAAAATAACGTATGACATTATTGCTTAGCTGAATGGCCTTTCCCGGCCATAAACAAAAAAAATCATTATCAGTGAGTGTCACACCTTGTCACGACAGGTTCAGAACCCAACATACTATATGTAACCATTTAATGTCATTGAGCAAACTTGCCCCGGTGTGCTCCCATTGGAAGAAATGCATTGGGACCATATGCCTCGCCGCTGGCAGGTCGGTTTTGATATCAATGCAGTTGGTCGACCGGCGGGGTGCGGAAGGGCGGCGCCTAAATCCTTCGTGCGGACCGCGCGGGCCTATCCGTTTGACTCTTAGCAATTCCACATATCAGTAACGTAGGGTGCAAAGTGACAATGGCGTTTCTCGTTGCCTAGAAAGATTCCATGTAGGTTCAGTTCTATCTGTGAGATATATCCCCCTCCTCCAGTCAAGACCAGCTTGACCTATAAGGTTGATAGAATAGAGTAAGAAGATTACCAGTTTGATGTTGTAGTTTGTCTCTAGCTCTACAGATATCAACAAATGTACAGTTGGCACGGACAACTGTCATGCTGATGCAACCTGTGCTGTGAGCTGTAGCTGCATCTCAGTAATTAACATCGTAGGTTGTAAGTTGTGAAAAAGAGTTAGAAGGAGATACCTATATATGTAATTGCTGTTTGCTTCTACAGATATTGATGAATGTACGGATGGCACGGACAACTGCGATGATGATGCAACCTGTGGTAACACAATCGGCAGTTTCAACTGTAACTGTAACAACGGTTACACCGGGGACGGAGTCAACTGTGATGGTAAGAACAAAAGACTTTGCAGACAAAAAACATTCTACTGTAAGAGTACATGACATGTACATATGTAAAAAAGATATATATAAAATGAATTAAATTTTATATGTATCCCCATCGGTTAATTGACGATGCTTTATGCATTAAAAATTTGTTATCCCCCTGTTGTAGTAAAGGTGCATCTTGAAGAAAAAATATGTGTACGATGTAGTAATATCTCAGAAATATATGTCATTTATAATTGTGTTTTGCTTCTACAGATATCGACGAATGTACAGATGGCACGGACAACTGCAATGATGATGCAACCTGTACTAACACAGACGGCGGTTTCACCTGTGACTGCAACAACGGTTACACCGGGGACGGAGTCACCTGTAATGGTAAAAGAAAAAATCGGTTGCAAACCCCCTTGGTTGTGCATTTGTAAAATCTTAGAGAGCCTAAATTGCTTCCATAGCTTAATACTTTGATGGTTCTTTGCCAAACTATCGTAAAGTGGCCTTTTGTCATAAACAATAATCATCATCGGTGAGTAAAATAACAAGCCCTTTCCTGGCAGGGTTACAACCCATGGTCGCTCTTGCAACACATACTACAGATTGCTACACTTACCCCTGTTTGCTCCGCTTTGAAGACGTGAACCGGGTCCGCAAGCCTCGGCGCTGGCCATTGGCGATCGGTCTTGCAATTCAGGGTCAACGGGTGGGGGTGGGGGGTGGTCAGGTTCTTACTTAATCATCTGTATGGACCATGCGAACTGACTACCAGTTTAACTCTTTGCGAAATCCATAGAGGCTCAGATATGTGAGATATAGCCCCCTTCCTCAAGTGATGACCACAATAGCTGCAGGGTTGACAGCAAACAACAAGACGAAGATTACGATAATTTTGGTGTTTTTCTCTGTACAGATATCAACGAATGTGCAACTGACACGGACAACTGCCGCGATGACGCAACCTGTACTAACACAATCGTTTTGCTTCTACAGATATTGACGAATGTACAGATGGCACGGACAACTGCGATGACGATGCATCCTGTGCTAACACAATCGGCAGTTTTACCTGTAACTGTAACAACGGTTACACCGGGGACGGAGTCAACTGTGATGGTAAGAACAAAAATCTTTGCAGACAAAAATATTTATGATATTTTCCCTAAAATAATGAGATTCCGATATAGCTCCCTCCCTCCATTGATGACCAGCATGTGCTGTAAGGTTTTGCTGAAAGGTTCGACTACTAGTATGTTGTTGTGTCTTGTTTCATAGATGTCGACGAATGTGCAACTGACACAGACAACTGCGCCAATGATGCAACCTGTACTAACACAATCGGCAGTTTCACCTGTGCCTGTAACGAGGGTTTTACCGGGAACGGAGTCACATGTACTGGTAAGAATAAGCGATTTGGCTGTTCATTTGTGAAATATTATACTGTTATATGTAGAATGCATGTATTTCTTATATTGAGTTTTGTGTTCAAAAGTTGTATATGCACTGGCTCATATAATACAATTTCAGTCAAAAAATAGCGCACTGAAGGTGGATGTCAAAGAATTGCAAAATATGTGGAAGTACGCATGATTACGATGTGATACAAATAAGGAGAAGACTGCAATACATGTGTATATATGTTTTTGCGGTTTGTCTCCACAGATATCAACGAATGTACAGATAACACGGACAACTGCCACGATGATGCAACCTGTGCTAACACAATCGGCAGTTTCACATGTTCCTGTAACCCTGGTTACACTGGGGACGGAGTCAACTGTGATGGTAAGAGGAAAATATTTGGTTGGACATTTCTTTGAAAACCAGTGCAGTGCGCATCCCAGTGACGCATCCTCTTTCTAGTGATGACCAGCACGGGCTGTGAGGTTGTAGCAAAAACTAAGACGAAGACTGCTAGTATATTGTTGCGGGTTTTTTTAACAGATATCGATGAATGTGCAACTGGCACGGACAACTGTCACAATGACGCAACCTGTACCAACACAGACGGTAGTTTCACCTGTTCTTGTAACGAAGGTTACACCGGAAATGGAGTCACCTGTACTGGTACGAATGATCGATTTCTTTGTAGATTTGTAAAACATTATACTGTTAGAGTTTAGGAATTTTTTCAATCGAGTTTCATTATACAAAAGTTTAATAGATTTGTTAACTACTTGTTTATGCATTACTAGAACTAACTGTACTTTAAAGAAGCTAAAATATGTGTTATTATGTAGAATGATGTGTCTTCGATTTACAATAATAGTGATAAGGTTTCTGCAATATTTTTTATCACATCCACATTAAAGCAAAGAATTACGTATATTTTGTAGGCGTTACGATACACGATGTGATTGAACGTAATATAGTCTACCAATTGGTTACTAACACTAATATAATGGCATTTTTATTGTATTAAAGCTGCACGCGCAAAATGTGTACCGCGTTTGCTTAGTTCAGGTCTAGATCGATATATACGTGGCGTTTGGCTTTGTGCCAGCGTATCAAATTTCACTGCACTGCGTACATCCCGGTATTTATTGTGTACCTTTCTTGAATCTATAACGTAGGTTTATGATAAGAATAAGTTTTATAGAGGTTCAGTTGTGCGAGATATTACTTCCTTCCTTTCTCTTATGATGACTAGCATGGACTGTAATATTCTTAGCAAAGAGTAAGGCGAAGATTACTAGCATGCTGTTTCGGATTTCTCTATAGATATCAACGAATGTACAAGTGACACGGACAACTGCCACGAGGATGCAACTTGTGCTAACACAGTCGGCAGTTTTACATGTTCCTGTAACACCGGTTACGCCGGTGACGGAGTCACCTGTGATGGTAAGGGCAAAGCTCCTTGGTTGTATGTTTGTGAAACATCATACTCCCTCAAGGAATTATCATCATGGGCTGTAAGATTGTAGCAAAGAGTAAGACGAAAACTTCAAGTATGTCGTTGCGTTTTGTGTTTACAGATATCGATAAATGTGCAACTGTCACAATGACAACTGTCACAATGACGCAACCTGTACTAACACAATCGTTTTGCTTCGTAGATATCGACGAATGTGACATGTACATCGGCACGAACAACTGTCACGGCGATGCAACCTGTACTAACACAGACGGCAGTTTCACCTGTGCCTGTAACGACGGTTACACCGGGAATGGTGTCACCTGTACTGGTAAGAACAAGATTGGTTTTACATCTGTTATCCATTAGACTGTTTGGCTGCATGCTTTACCTTTATCCAATTCCATTTAAGTCTGATAGATTTTGAAGCACTTGTTTATGTATATTGCTTGTTTCAGAGTGAAATATGGTATTTACTGTACATTTAACGACAATAACAATGAAAATTAGATTTATTGCGTATTCACGCTCTACATGGACTAAATGCACTAAGTTCGATAACTGAGGTACAAGTATAAGGAACAAGTGTTACATCGCTGTGCTACATCTATATCTACAGGATCTCTTCTCTCTTTTTGAAACATCTATGAACAAATTCACATAGTTTTTGATTTACATCGTAGTTCTTAGATGTCATAATAATCAAAGGTATGTATAAGATGAAGAGATACCACATAGATGTGCGATAGCGTCAGTTACAATGTCACAAAAATAGCGTAATATGGTTTCTTCAATATCATCACAACAAAATTAACCAAAAACTATATTTTAGTGATGATGCCATTTCATACTTATTACTATTAAGTAGGTATAAATCCATAGATACAGCAACGTTACTATCGTGATTCTATTGAGTCTGCGAAATATACTTGTACCTCCTTTCCTCTTAAAATGTATAGCATGAACTGTAGATTGACAGCAAATAGTAAGATGAAGATTACTAGCATCTCGTTTCGGTTTGTCTCTACAGATATCAACGAATGTACAGCTAACACGGACAACTGCCACGATGATGCAACCTGTGCTAACACAGTCGGCGGTTTTACATGTTCCTGTAATACCGGTTACACCGGGGACGGAGTCAACTGTGATGGTAAGGATAAACAATATGGTTGTATATCAAGAAGTGTTTAATGCATTGCCGATCCGTGTCAATATATCATATCAAATGTGTACGACTGTACTATTAAAAACAAAAAATATTTTGTTTTATATGACTGTACTATTAAAAACAAAAAATATTTTGTTTTATATTTGTGAAGTTTTTAAGCAGTCTCAGACATTTGTTATGGAAATACGTTATTTTTTTACAATGTTACAATGAACAATGTGATAAAAGGTAAAATTTTTCCACCATTAGGCAGCGTGTAAACAGTTTTTACATCATTGCTGTGTCAAAGCTACGCAACACGTGTGTCATCTTTGCTCAAATTACGTTACGTGCAATTCAGAAACGCCTTACATTTCCGTGAATCACGTGATTATTTGCGTGTATCTTCCTTGTATCGGTAACATAGGATCCAATACACTTGCCTTAACTAATGACATTTCGCAGAGGTCCAGTGCTGTGTGCTGCCGTCCACTGATGATCACCATAGGCTATAAGATCAAGTTGTAACAACGAGTAAGACAAGTGCTGTAAGTAGGTTGTTTCGGCATGTTTTACAGATATCGACGAATGAAACATCCATCGATGACCATGCAGCAAGGGTTGTAAGCAAAGGGAAGTATGAAGACGACTAATATGTTGCTGTGGTTTGATTTCACAGATGTCGATGAGTGTGCAGATGACACGGACAACTGCCACGCTGATGCAACCTGTGCTAACACAGACGGTAGTTTCACCTGTACCTGTAACAACGGTTACACCGGGACTGGAGTCACCTGTACTGGTAAGAACAGGAAATGTGGCTGTAAGCCATTTTCGCTGGCGAAAGTGATTTTATATTTACCTTCTAGCGGTCAATCAATCTAGGTATAAGGTAGACGGACGCATCATGTATCAGCAACCGAGTTTGTCGAGTGGGCTTCCCAGCCTGCACTGATAATTATTGTCCTCTGTCAGAGTTTTGTGTTTGTACCAGTGCTTCACATTTCACTGCATCGCAATTTGTTTTGCTCTATTTTGTATTGATAACGTAGGTCAGTAAACAGTAATTTATTTCTTTACATATTGGGCTTCTGTAGAGGTTTAATTGTGCGAGATAGAAACTTCCCCCAGGGATTACCTTATTATAAGGTTCATATCAAAGATGAAGATTACAAGCATGTCGTTGCGGTTTGTCTCTACAGATATCAACGAATGTACAGATAACACGGACAACTGCCACGATGATGCAACCTGTGGTAACACAATCGGCAGTTTCACCTGTGCCTGTAACACCGGTTACACCGGGGACGGGGTCAACTGTGATGGTAAGAACAAAATTAGTTTATTATGGGTGATCATCCTTGTTGCTAATAGTCATATTGTAATACTTAATACCTTACACGAAGATTAAATTATCAACGGCCATTGTCTCCTTCATCAGGATAGATAATGACATCTGAACGTAAAGCTGTGAGATTAAGCGAAGCGTAATACGACGACTTCTAGTTCTTGCTGTGGTTTGTTCTTACAGATATTGACGAATATGCCAGTGCAGTAGTGGTACGGACAACAGTCACAATGATGCAACCTGTGCTAACACTGACGTTTTGCTTTGTAGATATCGACGAATGTGACATGTACAGTGGTACTTGTATTTAATTGCGGTTTGTCTCTAAAGATATCGACGAATGTGACCTTGGCACGGACAACTGCCACACTCACGCAAGCTGTGCTAACACAGACGGCAGTTTCACCTGTTCTTGTAACAGCGGTTACACCGGAGATGGAGTCAACTGTGATGGTAAGAGCCGGAGATGCCTTCTAATCACTTGTTGGTTTATCACAATTTCCGTGTGAAAATATGCTATTACATGTGTATCTTATACAAGCAAAAATGGGTGCGTAATGCATTGATACAATTTGTGATGTTTATGATATCGCTGTTTTAGGTGTTTTAATTAATTCGCCAAGCTACGAGACGGCAAATATTAGACAGGACGAAAAGATCGAGCATATAAAGAGTTTGCTTAGTGCTATCGGGGCTGGCAAAACACCCATAATCAAAATGTGTGCCCAATTTACTTAAAAGTGTAATATAACAGCGTGATACTTGACCATAGTACAGGCCCTTTGCAGTTCAGTGCATCATACCGGATTATCTACTTCTAGTATTTAACTGTAGAGGATACAAAATAAGAATGATATTTTCCTTTGCCTAATGAGATTCCGTAGAGGTAGAGGTCTGTGAGATCTAACTCCCTCCCTTCATTATGGACCTCAAGGTAGGTAACAAAGAATAAGACGATGATATACCAAGTATGTTGTTGCGGTTTTACAGATATCGACGAATGTTCAGATGGCACACACAACTGCGATGATGATGCAACCTGTTCTGACACGGACGGCAGTTTCACCTGTTCGTGTAACGTCGGTTACACCGGGGACGGAGTCAACTGTGATGGTAAGAGTTTGTTTTGGTTGTACATCAGTAAATTATTATGTTGTACTATCTGTATTCGATTCATTCCTTTCCCAACATGGTTCTCTCTAATATATACAGCCCACATCATTAGAAAGGGCGATGAAGAAATGCGTAAAGTAAGGTGGTAAGACTCATACCTCATTTAGAACACCGTATCTTAAGTTAAGTCTTAGGGAGAGTGCCGACTCAAAGGCATAGCTTGGTATCCAATCCTGTTACAGCCACCGAATTGCAAATAAAGATTCTATGCCCCACCATGGGAAGTTATTATTATCTTTTACGACCGTTCCTTATGGAGTTGGTAACACCTTAAATATGGCATAGGATGCAAATCAGTATTGAATTTGCATGAGTTATGAGGGAATTAATTCCGTTTTTCAACATGGTACAATATGTAATTCTGTAGATACCGATGGATGCGTTCCGGATCCGTGTGTTGAAATAGCTACCTGTACCGACATTCCGGCTCCTGGGACGGGTGCAACTTGTACCTGTCCCTCGGCAGGGTATTACGGTGATGGAAAAACTCACGGCAGTGGGTGTCAAGGTAATTTTCTTTTCTTTGATTATATAATATCATCGCTGTACCAAAAAGCACACGTGGTTTGGTGTAAATCTTTGCTAAATCTGCGGCTATTATGATGAAAATATCCGCCGTCCGTCTATCTTCACAGACGTCCCCGGTTGCAGCGAGGACAACAATCCGTGTCATCCCCTGGCTACCTGTACCGACGTTCCGGCTCCAGGGACCGGTGCGGTATGTGTGTGCCCGGATGGATATGAGGGCGATGGAACTATGACTGGAACCGGATGTACAGGTGATCCATTATCTTAGAAAATTCTTTCATATTTTGCGTAGCATGATACAGCTAGCTGCATACATAGACGTTGTCATTGTCATTGTCATTGTCATTGTACATAGACATAGACCCTGAGCCCCCAGGGTAGGATATTCGACAGTGGTTCAGAGGCTGATTGATATACATGCCTGTACAGGGAATAAAATGTATCCTGTCAGTACAGGGGCTGCCCGTAGCATCATTATAAAGAATGCATATTATGTATGTATTGTTCTTCATGAGTATTGGGGGGTTTGTTACTTTATAGAATACTGCACCTGACTGCATCTTCATCTGCACCTTATCTGTTTTTCCGCAGAAATCGATGGATGCGACCCCGACCCGTGCGATCCTAATGCTGAATGTACAGACAATCCACCTCCTGCTGACGATGCGACTTGTACGTGTAACGATGGATATACGGGAGATGGATACACATGCACAGGTATCACTAGATCTTTTAGTGAACCCTTCGATATTCGCCTTTTCACAAGCAACTATTAATGCAGTGCATCACACGAGGTAACTTACCCTACATCAATAATGTAGGTTACACAAGAATTATATTTTTCCTTGATTAGTGAGATTCCATAGAGCTTAGAGCTTTAGGTCATCGAGCTCCCTCCCTCAAGTTATGAACATCATGTGCTGTATGCATAGTTGCCAAAAGTAGGACGAAGATTTCTGGTATGATGGTGCTGTTTGTGTCTGCAGATATCAACGAATGTACAACTGGCACGGACAACTGCGATGATGATGCAACTTGTGGTAACACAATCGGCAGTTTCACCTGCACCTGTAACAGCGGTTACACCGGTGACGGAGTCAACTGTGAAGGTGAGAGCAATATTTAGTTGCACATTTGTAAAACATCGCCCTGTTGCTTCCATAGAATTAAATTTTCAGTCACTACTTGATACATTTTCTCCGGGGACAGAGAAAGCTGTACTGGTAAAGATTTGGTAAAACACTATACTGTAAGAGTGCATGAGTTCCATTTATTTCTCTGGGCGACACATTTATTTATCACTGCATTAAAGCAATTCCGTGTCGAAATTTGGCACTTAACACGATTAACAACTTGAAGAAGGGAAACATGTGTACGATAATAAAGCTATACCTCACAAATGCATGCGTCTTTACCGGGTGATAAAGGCATAGCAATGTTTAACTAAAGATATAAATTGCAGAGAAGTTACGATACACTGACAATACGTTGTGGTGGGTTATGGCATCAATACACCTTGTAAAGAAATCAGAAAGGGATCATTTCTGCGCGATACTAGTATAGCTCCCACCCTCCAATGATGACCAGCATGTGTGACTCCATTATGTGCGCTCTGAGGTTTTGAGCGAAGAGAATGACTTATGTTGTTGCGGTTTTCTTTACAGATATCGACGAATGTGACCTTGGCACGGACAACTGCCACACTCACGCAACCTGTACTGACACAGACGGCGGTTTCACCTGTACCTGTGATGACGGTTACACCGGGGATGGAGTCAACTGTGCTGGTATTTATAAGGGCCTATTTATTTGGTTGTATCTTCCATAGAGTAAAAGCACACAAGAGTTTCCATATGATTTTTCATCACTGCAATTCAATTCGCGCGAACTGTTATATTAGAATGACGATGGCCTAATATAAGCAATACACATTTCAGTACATCTTGTAGGTATTCGTGTGAATATTAACTGTGTACCTTCCTTTTACGTAGAGAAGGACATAAGTACAATATTCCTTATGCGTACTGATGAGATTCCGTAGGGGTGTAGTCCTGTTAGATATAGCTACCTCTTTCCACTGTTGACCACCATGGGCTATAGGTTTGGGAAAAGAGTTGGACAAAGATTACTAGTATGTTGTTGCGGTTTGACTCTACAGATATCGACGAATGTTCAGATGGCACACACAACTGCGATGATGATGCAACCTGTTCTGACACCGACGGCAGTTTTACCTGTACCTGTAACGAGGGTTACTCCGGGGACGGAGTCACCTGTGATGGTAAGAGCAAAAATATTTGGTTGCACAGTTGTGAAACACCATTGAATTAAAATTTCTAACATTGTTTTATACCTGTTCTGTGAAAACATTAAAAACATCGCACAGAAACGGAAATCCGTGAGGTACATGTATTGGTTAGAGCAAAGGTCATTTTGTACGTCCGTGATGCACGGCAAAGTTAAAGTGCATGCATTTTTGCATTTGCATAGAACTTTTGTTTCTATTTCTTTACGATAACGATAAGAAACAGTGCAACGTAATGCACGATACAGTATCTCGTGACTCCATTTCCTCGTAGAATTCTAGAAACTAGCGACGAAAAATGTACTTTTTTTCAAATTCGTGTTAAGTGTGATACAAAAAAAGACCTTTCATCTAGTACTGCTCGTTGCTTTGCATTTCACCATCACATTGGCTACTACCTGTGTACCTTGCTCGTATTGATATCGAATATTACAAGAAGTAATTACAGTTTCCCTTATGATAAGATTTCGAAGAAGTCCAGAACTGCGAGTTCCCTTCCTCCCCTGATTATCACATGGACTGTAAGGTTTGTTGCAAAGATTAAGAAGAAGATTAGTAGTATGTCATTGTTGTTTATCTCTTGTAGCGAAGAGTATGACGAATGTTGCGGTTTTTCTTTACAGATATCGACGAATGTGACATGTACACGCCGGGCACGAACAACTGCCACACTCATGCAACCTGTACTGACACAGACGGTAGTTTTACCTGTACCTGTAACACCGGTTACTCCGGGGACGGAGTCAACTGTGATGGTGAGAGCAATTTGTTTTGTACATTAGTATCTTCTTTACAATAAGATTTTACAAGAGTTTTCATATCTTTACTTAACACTGTTGTATACATTGATATTCATGTGTCAAAAAACGTATTAAAAGTACACCTCTAAAAAGGTGAAGATGTGTTACTGGACAAATACGTAGGGGCCTTTGCAACTACGATATCACAACCACAGCGTGATATGATTTACATTCCGCTTCTATTCCTTTACGATAAACGATGTGCAATGTAACGGTAATCTACCATACAGTAGTGTTTGAGACCATTACTGCATACTTTCCATGCCAACACTACGGACGTGAAATGTGCTCGAGGTGTAGCTGCCTCTTTCCACTGGTGATCACCCTAGGGAAAACAGAGTTGGACAAAGAATGCTAGACTATGCTTTAATGCGGTTTGTCTTCGTAGATATCGACGAATGTGCAGCTGGTACGCACAACTGCCACGATGACGCAACCTGTACTGACACAGACGGCAGTTTCACCTGTACCTGTAACACCGGTTACTCCGGGGACGGAGTCAACTGTGATGGTAAGGGCAAAATATTTGGTTATACATTTTGAAAATATTGTACGGTTAGAAAGATGAATTTCTTCAAAGATATAGTTCTCAAGATTTACTCAAAATTGCTAACATTGGTAAGTCAATGTTCGTAAGACCATCAGTGAATCATTTCCGTTATAAAAAAAATGGACGTAAAGACATGTACATTGTGTAGGCTAGGTGTGTCCTGTTTTTGTTGAATTCATGTCGAGTGTGATGTAACAAAACGCAACATTTGGCCCAGCATTGACCGGTGCTTCAGATATAAATACATCGCATGTGTCCACATGACTTGAATCAGGGTTACAAATATAGAGTAAGATTTAAAAGAAGATTCCTAATATGTAATCATTGCCGTTTGTCTCTACAGATATTGACGAATGTAACCTTGGCACGGACAAC